TCACGTTAGATTCCTCGCTTGGTCATATTTTCTCTTCGTCTCCGCCCCTTTCTTGCGTTTTCTTCCCACTTTTGGCGGTGGGGCAAGCAGAAGTATTTTTTTTTTGGCGTCCTTCTCCATCACAGCTCCTGTAGCTAAGCGGCCGGGAGAGTGGGAGGGGACGAGTCCGAACTACGGGAGAGGGGTGCGTCAAATATAGCGAGGTGATTGGATGGAGAGGCGGAGCAGGAGATTGACCAATAGGAGCTGTCTGGGACGGATGGCTCCCATTGGTCAATGGTTTTTCCGATCTTTTTTCACTTCACTTTGTGGCGATCACACTATAGGACCATGATCGCCATAGAAACGAGGTTCATAATAATTACCAATCTCTCCAATCGTCAACCACCATCAAGTTTTATTGACCAAATCTGCCCTAAACTGCTGCTAAATACTAAATACTAAAAACTTTAACAAATGGATCTGCTGCTAGCTGGCTGCCATATTGGAAATGCTGACTCAGCATAATTAATGATGTGAACAGGTACAAAGAGGTGGAGATGATGGAGGTCTTTAGCCTCCTAGAATACAGCTAAGTAAACTACGACCCTGTAACTGTACGAACTTTAAGAAAATCCAAACTTTAACGGTAATCAAAGCAGATGAGCGGTGAAAGTAAAAAAATCACAGCTGTCCACTCAGTTCATATAAATAAGTTACTGAGACCCAAACTGTGTTTTTTCAGGCTGTAAATGTCAAGTCGGCTGTTCTTATAATGGGTATTTGTTAGTTTTTGGAGTCTGCCTCAAGTGGACTCTTGAGGAACTGCAGTTTTGTGACACTTTCGCTTTGGCTACATTTATTTTTTTAACTCCAGAGTACAAAAGCAGAGCAGGGCACATTTGTTTCATTGATTATCCTGCTGATATGCTGACATGTTTCTGATCACAACAAATAACCAAACAGTGTTTCCTGTTAAAGTGAAGCTACTGAGGACTAAACTGTCAAGTAGCAGGTTTTCAGCTCAAATTCAAGTTCCTACACCTCCTTAGTTTAGCATGATCATTTCATATTAGCTTTATTTCACACAAGAGTGAAAATAATGAGCCCAGATATCTGCTTTTAAATCTGATAATATGTCTTTTGACGCCTCCGATTGTGAGTCAGGTGTGTGTTTGAAGTCTAAATGAATCCAAATGTGAGCGTCGGGTGTGAAAATTAGAAAACTTCTCCGCTGGCAGGTCAGTGCCACATACCAACCCTGCAGGAATGTATGCGGAGGAAGCCAAAAACATGCGGTTCGCAACAATTCGGAGAGAGAATTCCTCAGCAGACATCTCTGAGTCATAACTTCAAATGGTCTGTGTGAAAATAGTTGAGAAGTGCTGAGTGTGCAGACCGAGCCGTGAGTGAAATACGACCGTTTGATCGACTTTCATCTTCCTGAAGGTGTTGAGACTTTTACTGCAGCTTTGACAACGTTCATCAATTACCATTAGATGTTAGTTTACTCTAAAGAGTGCTGACATTCACCCTGTAATGTTATATAACCTGTAATTTACATGTATAGTATGCCAGTGTATGGGCCCATCTCAACACCAGAAGCCACATGGAGCCATTTTTGGCACTTTTGAGCGCTTTCACATAAAATATTTGAGGCTCTCTTCCAAGAAACTGTTTTATTTTTCAAGGGAAAAAGAAAGCCAAGAGGGGCCTTGTTCTCACCAGAACAGAAAGAGAAATATAGACTCCCGTTTTTCATCAATATTTTGAGTCACTGGGACAAGACAAGTGTAAAATAAACAGGCTGCAGAGCCAAACCCTCAAGAATCAACCGCCAGCTCTGCAGCTTTCTGCAATTTTCAGCGACTTTTAGTCTGTTAACTGTTTTCTTACCCGTCTGCACATGAACTGTGTGGCTCAGATATTATATCATCAAATACTTCTTTATAACTGAGTTCATTTGTCCTGATTAACCTCTGAAAAGGATGATAAGACTGTTACTCATCTGCAGATTGTGGAAATAGTTAAAAAACCAAACTGCTCTGTGAATAAAGATGAGGTTCTCGCTTTTAGGGGGGATTCAGGGATTCAGTTTATCTGAAATGCATTAGATTTGATAAATTGGTCATTTTGTGTTCAAAGTCTTTTTTTATGCTTGTGAACAAATCAAATTCAGGAATAAACCAGCTTTTTAAAACTTTGAAACTGAAGACCCAATTATAAGATTCATCACATCCCTTTAGTTAACCCTCGGTTCCTACTATGTCCGTTTTGAGGACATTTGTCATTTTTTTCATCTTTATTTTGAGCTGACAGTCACATTTTAAAGATCGGGGCATCAAAGTTGGTGAGAATTCTTATTTTTTCACATTAATATTTTAAAAAAACTATGGCACATGTAGTTCTCTGTCGCCGCATTTTAGCTCCATCCACCCTCCTTTGTCCTCAAATCAGACAATAGACCTCCATTAAAAAAACGTTTTTTGACCGTGTGTTTGTGGCACCATAACAACATATTTTATATGTGCGTAATCAGCGTAATCACAGTCAAATTTTGGTTAGAGGTGGATAACCACTTGTAAATGATTCCTATCTTACGTATATCTTCTGATTTTATATGCCTATATATAAAATTAATTTAAAATGAACAAATGAATTTGATCGCATTAGAGGTAGAGGACGAGACTGGAGAAAAGACGGTGAAAATGGCGTATTTTTCCACTCCAATAGACTCAACTGTTTAGAACAAACACTTTATCAATTAATATGACATGATGAACAAAAACACTCATAAAAAGGGAAATACATCAAATTTTTTATTCTTCACTTTTTTAATGATCAGGGCTAAAGTTGTTTAAGAGATTTGAGTCAAAAGAAGAAAAAAAAAATGTTGAAAAATGATTATTTTATGAGTATGTATCTGCATGTCCTTTTTGGGGACAAAGTCGGCTGGATGGAGCTTAAAATGTACAGGAAACGAGGGTAAAGTTACCTTTTGTTTACATGGGTTTCCTGTTTTATTTTGAAACTCACCTGTGTCTTGTTTCAGATCCTCCACTTCCTGTCTTCTTTTCTTCCCACTCTGTGATTACCTGCCCCTCCCTGCAGAGTTTCACCTGCAGCTGAGTATTTATTCTCTGTGATCCTCTGCTTCTGTTTGTCAGTTTGTCTCTTAATCATTTGTTTCATTTCAGTCTTTTCCAGTCTCTGTGACTTTTTCCTTCAGTTCTGGACCTGATTTTTGTACCTTTGTCTGATTTTTTTTATCACTTCTTCATGTTAAACCTTTAAACATTTTCCTGATGTGGATGTTTGTTCTTTGTTTGTGCCAAGATTTTGGTTTGATTATGAAGAAGGTGAACAGATTCAGAGTCACAGGTTGGGTTTATGCCATGCATTAAAGACGGCTCAGTTTCTGTCTTTAATCAACACTTACAGACGCATATTTTCCCCTGTTAAAAATAAAATATTGGTTTAAGTACTCGGTACCACATGTGGTCATGTGTGGTTTCCACTTGTCAGCGAAGTAGAGTCTGGACTGTGACAAAATGATTTGAACCCATAAACCCGTCTTCACACAATCCTGCGATTAAAAGGAGCCTTGGGTTTTCAGCCTCCCACTTCAGAAGGAAACATTAAAGGCACCACATGTTATATGTATTTTTAAACGTTTACTTAGAGTGCCGCTGAGGCTACTGTAATCTGGGGAGATCTGGTGTCGAAAAACGTTCCAGTCTCTGAAGGCTTCAGCTGAAGCGCTCGTCGGATAGTTGGAGTCGAACCACGTCTTTAAAACACGAGACCATGTGTGGGATATACATCTGCCAATTATTGTCATTTCATAAAATCAGCAGATTAACCAGGATGCACGCCATATTGTGGGTGAAAGATTATATCCTAATTATACAGAGTGACGTGAAAAGAGACCGTCGAGTCATCCGACCAGACATTGTGTTTGTCTGCATGGCAACAGAAGCAGCAGGAGAAAAAAAATCAACTCTGTAACCAGGAAACGTCAAAAGAGGAAAAACTAAGAAGTTATGATAATTAGGTAAATCTAGCTGCATGATACTCGTCTCTGATTGGTCAAAGCCCCATGAAACAGCGATTAATCCTGACACAAATCCTAATCCTTTATAATAATAAATATAAATATCCTTAATATTACACCAGATGTACCAGAAGCCAGCAAGGGAACTCTGGTAAAAGATATCTATCAAACTAAAGAAAACAGACACAAATCAATCCACTACCAAATTTCACGATTACACCTTATGCAGATGCCATTGTGGCGTTAGCAGGAACACAAGCAAATAAATGTAATAAATATTAAATTAATAATAAATATAAATATCTTCAAAATGATACCAGTTGTCTGTGGAGAGCACAAAACTACAGCAGCCAAGCTAGCAAGGGAACTCAGGTAAAAGACATCTATCAAATTGAAGAAAACAGACACAAAGCAATCACGAACTATTGCGTTTGTTGGGACTTTACCGACTTTATAAGAAAATCTTAATTTCATCGTTGAGGCTAAAACATACAGGATCCGTATTGAGTGCGTTCCGTCAGCGTCGCGTATCACACAGCAAATAGGTTGCCGTTCTAATCAATGCAGCATCGCACACAGGACACGTATCAGCTCAGCCGCAGCTCCATATCAGAAGCATGTTGAGTGCAACACTGCTAAAGATACCGCCGAGTCTGTTTTTGCTGCTCTACTCTTCCAACATGCTTCAGTTTACACAAAGATCTTCTAGACAGGATGAAAATCAAGAAAATCTTAATTTCATCGTTAATTCAACTTACAAAGCGAAAAAAAATTCCTGTCGCAACAGAAGCGCAATAAGCTGGTAATCTGAAAGATTTATTTTAGCTAAATCCAATATAATTATCATTAGATCGATACCTGGAGTCCGTTCGTTTGGATCTTTCATTCATAAAAAGTCAGTTAAAACTTCCTTTCTTTATTTTTTTAGAGATATAAAAGATCTGCTTTTCGACATATTTCTGAACTTTTATGATCCTTGTTTCTCACAGAGTCGTCTTTCAGCTTCACGATCGATGGTTGGAGCCTTCGCTGGTTCACAGCTCATAGTAGACGAGAAGTCAAATGATTTGATTTTTGCTTCGTCAGCATTACTCGCCGTTTCATTGGGAGCCGGTCCAGCCACAGTAAAACCAGTACGATCCGACTCTCCGGTGACTCTGGCCTGAAAAAGAGGAGTGTTAGTTAGTCACGACTCAGTCAGAGTTTCCCAGACGGTTCACAGATCTGAGTCTCTGACCTTTAACCTCTTATTTGGCAGAGCGGTACGGTTTAAACGGGGTCGACTAATCTCAAAGTCCTGCGGCTGATGTGGAGAGCCGTTCTGGTGTTGAATTTAACAGCTCAGCAGAGGTTTGTCATTTTAAGGCGGTGGTGAGCCAACACTTCCACTCTGAACATCTCCAAACTTCTAATCACACGCATGTAAATGTCTCCGAGTGTCTACTGTGGGTTCAAGACGAGCAGCAGGCACCGAGACTGACACGCAAGTATGTTAATTTATAAAAGTGAGATTTCTCTCTGACCATAATCTGAAAATGTCGGAGGATTTCCTATATTTAAGCTGCAAAACGGACAGATTTATGCTTTTCTGATGGCACCGTTTTCCCGGCGCCATAAACACTTGTAATCAGGAGGACTGGTATGCTATGGTATGCTCGGGCTTTCAGCCTTAAAATATATAAATATGCACAACTCGACTCCATAAAAGACAAGGTGAAAGACCTCAGAGGAATTCTGAAGTACTGCAATTTTCATTCTTGAGATATCTTGGGGTGCACTCACTCGAGGGCTGGATGCGACCCTAAAATCAGACCTTGGCACAATTACCATGAGCGACATCGTAAAAAGACGCGTGCACGGCCGTCCGTCATCGTGTAATGTCCTTATTTTACATGTAGAGTCGTACAGATGACGCCAACACAGGGAACATGAGTGCAACTTGACATATACTTTATACTTTATACTAAACCATGAACTCAACAGTATTTAACCCATGAAGACCTGAACCCTGTCTGAGACACGCCTCTGAAATCCTGAGGACCCCAGATCCTGAGGTTTACAAAAAAGCTGATATCTCAGCTTCTGTAGCAGATAGAAACAAAATTCAAAAAGTATTTTAGAGCTTACACATGTGGCTTTCAACATAACTATCTTTTATTTGTCTGAACCTTCATCAGATTTTTGAAAACCTTGAACAAACAAACTCAAATGAAATAAAGCGGCTGTATAAATAAAAGTAAAGGCTCTGGAGAAAAACAAACTGTACTTTCTGTAAAACAAGTGGAAGTCATGATAAAGTGTCCGTTCTATACAAATGTAAATATAAAACAAATAATTATATTATATTTTTAAACTTTTTTAGGCATTTATCTGCAAATATCCACCGATCAATATCGACTAAAAACTGTTTCTGCGAGTCAAATTCACCAAAAGGCCACTTCCCAGATAAGTTTCCAGTTGTTCTACCCGTCCAAGGAGGACTCAAAGTCCAACTCTAAATATGATCATGGCCTGCAGGTCGCTTTCCCATGATGCATGTCTGCTTTATCTCCTGACCCTTGCAGCTACCTTCCTGCATGTCCGAAACCGAGAAAAAGCGAGGGAGTTTCCAGATTTCCTGACACTTAAATTTGAACAAGAAGAAGAAGAAGAAGAAGATAATGCCGTAGAGGAATCTGAAGTGATTTTAAGGATCTCAACGTTTGCGTGAGAGTCAGCAGAAGAGAGGCTGAAAATGAGAGAGAGAGAGCGAAGACAACAGGATATAAACGATGAGAGACAAAAGTTTGACAGAACAGAGGCGTTGTGTGGAGTGGGAAAGGTCGTATATTGTCCTGTGGTGTTGCAGCACATTAATTATAGGATAAGGAGCGATAAACTCTGCTGCAGCTCTATGAATAGAAACACAGAGAGAGACAGACAGATCGCTGACAGTGCAGCCGGATGTGGACTGTCTCTGGGTTTAGATGAAGTTAGAAAGCGAGCTGGCGTCTCTTTCATTTAGTTTTCCAGGAATTTGGTCAAACGCTCAGAGACCGAGAGCCTGATAGTCCCGTATTTTTTAATATTGATGCTAACCTCTCCAGGTCTGAGTCTGCAGTTTTTAGTCGTCTTGGTGACAGACTGTGAATTTTCCAAACTGTATCCAAACGGAGAAAGAAAAACGAGGCTGTTTATGAGGCTTTAGAGTCTAATTTTGCATCTTTTACTCAAATTTATGAAATTATTCAATTAGGGTTTGGGGTTTCAATCACGCCCATGTATTTTTGGATCATAAAACATCACACACAAACAAATAAATGACCCTGCAGACAGCGAAGGCGAGCGCAAATTCAGGAAAACAGGCTGATTTTCTGATGGAGTGGCATCTTTTGAACGGTGCGGTGGGTTTGGATCGAGTTTCACGGGGTTGTGAAACTCGTCTCTGAGTTCACTCGGCTCAGACGCCAGAGTTCGAGGTGCAAGAACAACAATCCAGAGTCAGCAGAATATACAATGGGAACAGTAAAAGATAACCGATGTCCTCAGTAATAGACGTTATATCATGTGATGTGTCTTTGTTGGAGTAAGAGTCGACTTTTCCAGCCCAGACACGCCTAATTCAGTGTTTTTGTTTTTGTTTTTCCTCGAGCTTTGAGTTTTTAAGCCGCCACATTGACTATTAGAGGTTGTGATGCCGTTTCTGATTCTGGTTTGATCGAAGTTTTATTTCATGGTAGTCACTCAGGAGATGCTTAGTTGATGGTTTTTTGTTTGTTCAGGTAGATAAAATCAAGCTTTAGGCACTCTCAGCGATGTGGTCTTTGCTTTTGACTGCAGTAAAAGATAAAATATAGACTTTTACCCGGGATTTCCAACCAATTCCTACCAGATCCATTTGTGAGGCGAATTTGGTGGTGGATTACAGACAGCAGGAATCGCAAGAACTCACAAGAACCCGCGGATTTACGTGCAATCGTGCGATAAACGAGTTGTCTTTAGCCACAGAGGCTAACCAGACTAACTAGATTGTGTCCTTCCAGAGGAGGAAATCTACTTCTAGACTTCTAGAATCAGCATCTCCTCATCCATGGTGTCATCGGGGTGAAATGACGTCTAAAAACCTTTCACTTGTTCGTCTCCATGGTGTGAAATATGATCCTCCTGAAACACAGAGTGTTTTATTTTGAAAAGAAGCCGGATGTTTTATTTTGTGTCTGTGCCCGACTTCCTTTCCAGCACGGGTTAATCTGTGCTGAATTTATCCGCCATGATCCAGCTCCGGCACTGCAGACGTGGTAGTTCTTCTGTGTTAGCATCTTAGTCTGATTGTATTTCCATGAGGAAATGATGAAAATGCTAAATGCAACTAAAGTTGGTGTAACTAGAGAAGCAAGAGGTCAGCAACATTTATCTCTTGACGGGGTGTCTAACTCGGCATTTCGGTGTGTTTGACCTTAAATTAATTTTACGCTGGAATATCCCTTTAAATATATCTATTGCAATAATAACAGCTTACACCTGCTGAGTTTGCAGAAGTTATTTAACAGTTTGAAGAAAAAGTTTGTCAGACTTTTGTTTTATCACTTGTGAGAAACATTTCTGCACAGTTTGGTTTTATTAAATAAGACCTGATGTGTTGATTGGTTGCTTTCTGAGTGTGTGAGTATAAATGAGTCCCTGCAGTGTCCTTTGGTAATGAACCGTAATGATAGGTGTGTTCAGGACCTCTCTCAAACACAGATCGAAGCTGCGCCCTCGCTCACCTCTGGAATTTTTCTCTGGAGGTTTGAAGCGCCATCGCCTGCAGACACCGATCTTCTCCCCCTTGATTGTCCTGCTCTTAACATTTACGCGTAACTCTGCAGAGGCGTGAGAAAGAAGAGCGTGATTCTGCTCTCGGTCTACGGTGAACACACACCACAGCGAGATGATAGAGGGGGATAATAGGGAAATTATATCTGTTTTACAGCTGCTCCACATGCGACAAAAAGGAGTTTTTTTATGATTTTTTGTTTGATTTGAACCTTTAATTATTCCTCATTTATTATTTATGCGTTGCTTCTTTGCGCCGTTTGCAAGTGTGTGTGTCAGGAGGTGATAGAGGTGGGGGATTCCCGTTGTGACCCGTGTGTGTTTGTTTGAGTGTGTGTGTGAGTGTGTGTGTCCTATCCATCATCACACACACTTCCCTTCTTCAGCGAGTTTGAAAATAGAACGGTGTGTGAACATGACCTCTCCCACACATAAACACACACATACACACACCAGTAAACACACCCATTACGATGCCATTGTGTCTTGGATTCTTGTCCAGAAAGTGGGTGCGCGTTTGTTTGTGTTTGTGTGTGAGTGCATGTGTGTGTGTGTGTGTGTGTGTGTATTATCAGGAGTGTGAGGAAAAATGCCCCCTCTCTCTCTCTCTCTCTCTCTCTCTCTCTCTCGCCTTGTCCTCCCTCCATCTTTCTCTTACTGGCTCTCTTTTATTTCTCGCCACAAAGTCTAGGGTCGCTGCCAAATTTCCTTTGTGGCAAAGGTGTGGTGCCACGACACTGTCTCACACAGACACTCACACGCATGCACACACACACCTACACACAAACACACACTTACACACATTCTTCCATGTCTCGTTAGAGAAGCATCCACGCCGAGAAAAGGACAATATTACGAATAAACTCCACGGCGTTCTTACGTAAGACGACGACAGACGAGGTGAGGAATGGAAAGTGGTGTTTCCTCTGGAGAGTCCAATATTTCCTGATGACAGTTTTATAATTTATGAAAGCAAAAGTGGATCAACTGATATGAGGTCAGGACTATTGCAGGGCTGAAATGAACAGATATGCATTTTCATTACCAGATAGTCATGCTCCCCAGAGGATAACTGCACTGAAACACAGATTTTAATGTCACTTAAGGCTCACTGATCTTCCTTGATTCATTTTCTCCAGAGGATAACTGACTTATCGTCTCATGTCACATGATCTAACCCCAACTCTAACTGATTCATGCTTCTCAGAGGATAATGCACATATTTAGTGCCTCTTTAGGTAATTTAACAGGAATTTTCTTGCATATCCATAACTAACTCAAAGATCAGGTTTTGATGTCAGTTTGACATACCTGAACCTTTTCTAAATTCATGGTCCCCAGAGAGTAACTCATGTCTAACCATGTCGTTGAACATTTCCTTGAATCAGTATCCCCAGAAAATGACTTGAAGCATTGATTACTTTATCACTTGACTTACTGTTATCTCTCTTGATTAATTATCCCCAGAGGATATATGACTTAATAATCATGTCTCATTGTCACTTGAGTTAACCTCAGTCCTTCTGGATTCATGCTCCTCAGGGGATAATGCACACATTCAGTGCCTCTTTAGATAATTAAACAGGAATTTTCTTGCATATCCTTAAGTTGGACTAACTCAAAGATCAGGTTTTAATGTCACTTTGACATACCTGAACCTTTTCTTAATTCATGGTCCCCAGAGGGTGACTCACGTCAAACAGTAGATGTCGTTTTTATCTGAGCTAACCTGAACATTTCCTTGAATCATTGTCCCCAGCTTAAGCAAAGATTTCTTTATCACTTGACTTACTGTTATCTCTCTAGATTCATGGTCTCCTGAGGATATATGACTTAATACACATGTCTCATTGTAACTTGAGCTAATGGAAGTGACAATAAGATGGACACTCAAGTCTTTTTCGAGCATCTTGTTCAGGTTGAATGTCACCTTTTCGATTCATGGTCCCCAGAGAGTGACTCACTGAAAAACAAAAGTCTCTGTTTCATCAGAGCTTACATAAACCTTGATTCATTGTCCTCATTGGATGACCAACTTGAAGTGCATATTTAAACATCACCTAGCTTACCCTTCACTGCCTTGATTCATGCTCCCATGAGGATAACTGACACAATACACAAGTCTCAGTGTCGCTGGAAGTAAACCAAGCCTTTTTTTTAGCATATCCTATTGACCTCTTTATTAGTCATGGTCCCCAGAGAGTGACTCACTTGGAGCAGAAGTCTCTTTTTCTTCTGAGCTAACTTTATTCATACTCCCCAGAGGATAACTAACTTAAAGCACAAGTTTTAATACAAATTAGGCTTACTCCAACATTTATAGATGCATGGTCCTCAGAGGATGACCTGTTGAAAATTTTGATTTCAATGCCACTGAGGGAAACCTCAAGCTCCATGAATCAGGATCCCCAGAGGTTAAAGACTCAAAGCAGAGGATTTAATACAACTCATCAACCCCAACACACAAACCCGCTTAATTCATGGTCACCAGAGGCTGACTGCTAATCCCTTAAGGCTCATGATCTAAAGATTTCAGTGTCACTGAACCTTTCAAATGCAGGGTCTCCAGAAGATTACTGATTCCAGCACTTGTTACAAGATGCTAACTTCTAAAGATTGATTGTCTCCAGGCGATGAGTGACTCAAGCTCAAGCTTCTACAATTCATGCTCCCCAGATGATGACAGACTTTAAACACTGGTTTGAATAAAACTCAGACTAACCTGAACCTTTCTTTACTCATAGTTCCTGGAGGTTTTAGTCACATGTAAGCTAACCTGAACCTCCTTAAATTCATGGTCCCCAGTGTGCCGTACCCTACAGAACAGGTTTGATGTAATTAGAGCGAACTCCATCCTTAAATGTGTACGTATACGGCACACTCTGATTAAACCAATGACAGTAAGACGTAAATATGCAGCACACATTCATGGAGCCAGGGACAGCAGCAGCGGTAAGTGGGAGTAGTTCCTGGAGGGTCAGGCAGGAGGCTGTGAGACGCCGCAGCAGTCTCCCCTGGAGCTGGGCGTGGGGAGGAAAGTGAGTGTGTTTATATCTGTGTGTGTATCTTTGTGAGTGTGTGTGTGTGTGTGTGTGTTTGCAGGGGTCATTATATTGCGGTGCAGGGAGGAGGTAGAGGGGCACGTCCTTGGCAAACAGACAAACATACAATATTCATCTTAAGAGGTCATTAAAATGAACGATGGAGATGAAAACCATCTCAGACTCAGGAGCAACTTTCCCCTTGAAGCTCTCTCAGTCCACAGAAGCTCTGCTCAGATTTAAAACTTTATTACATCTATAACCCTGAACTTTTTCACGTTTAACGGTGTGTATCCTCTAAACTGTCATCCTGAACATGTAAGGAGTTCGTGCATCACTGTCACGACTTTAAATTCAAATAAAAACACCAAATATATCGTCTTTTCTGCACATTTGAAAGGTAAAAAAGTTGATTTAAAGTGATGATTTTAAACAAATTAAAGGTGTTGTAGTCAGGATCTGAGTTAGTGCCAGTTTTTAGGAGAAATCTTGAACATAAACTCTACCCCTCCCAACCACTTTTCCCCTCAGCTCCTCCCCTCAAGCCCCGCCCACAAACAGACGCTCCTGCTCGCTCGTATCGTTCCAGTTAAATTCAGATATAATGCAGATAAATCCTTCAGATCATTACAAATGGGGCCCAGTCAAGGTGAAAGTCAAAAGCATTGGTGCTACTGTAGATGCCAACAGACTACCAGCAAACACAATGTTTGCAGGACTTCTACAACGAGGATAAAGTGACATAGTCCAGGACCCGAGGGAGGACAGTTTAGCGATGGCGCTACAACACGCTACAGCAGGTCCGTTTGACAAGAAACACTTCTGTTACAGACACTTGTCTTACTTTGTTAAAGCGGTTTACCTGTCCAGCAGAAAGGTTACAGGGTCACCAAGATCCCCAAGCGTCCCCCATGGTTTATGTTGACCCGGCTTTTTAGCTCTTGTCCGGTCTACCTCCGTTTTAAGCGCCCGTTATTCCTCCAGAGTCTCCGGTATTTACTTTGTTTTCTTGCTTGTGTCGGCAGTCGTGGCCAAAGGAGGATTCAGACAATTTTCCGAACTTTCTGGTTGGTTTCTACTGTCCGATATTGTAGCACGCACGGGAGGCGGAGAACGGCTTTGTTTAAAATATTTAAAAACATTGACTACACAGACTATTATTAACTATTGACTGATATTAAAAGCTTTTTTGTAAATACACCACAAAAATAAAGATGCTTCTTTAACAGATTCCTTCCTACTCCACCTTTAAAATCGATCTGAGCTGCAGGTGTCTCCAAAATGCATCACTATGACTTTAATCAGTTTCACAGAGCTGTTTTTCATGATTTGCTACTAAAAAATTTTATTTTATCTACAAAAGAGACGGATATTTTTGCATGATTATCGCTGCAAGGACTAGAGAGTGCAGGTACCGATTGATGCCATAAGACGAGACTGAAGACCGGGGATGCAGGTTTGATTGTACATCAAGTACATCAAGACTGCGAAACTCTTCTTTTGTCATGTTTACTTCACAATCTCTGAGTTTGATGTGCGCTGTGTGACTTAAAAGCACGTTGGACTTTTCCCACAAAAACTTTCCGGCTGTTTTAACCATGAGGAGCAGAAGATATCAGTCTGAAACAGAATAAAATATAAACTTAGTGAAGGTACGAAAAGTCTGAACTCAAACCTGATTGGCCGATCCTCTTCTACCCAGCCTCTCTCTCTCTCTCTCTCTCTCTCTCTCTCGCTCTCTGAGTTGTTGTTAAGCTCAGCCACTAATCGCTTTGGTTGGGACTGTGGTCAACTGTGTAACCGCTGTCCTGCCCTCAAATGCACACACACACACACACACACACACACACACACACACACACACACACACACACACACACACACACACACACACACACACACACACAAACGCGTATAAAGAAGTGTGTGTGTGTTTGTTCATGTTCTGTCTCTCATTTGTGTTCAAACTTAATTACACGTGTGTCGTCTCGGTCTTATTTAAATGTGTGCGCTCGTTTCATACATATATGTATGGATGTGGGTGCAACAGTTTGTGTGTGTGTGTGTGTGTGTGTGTGTGTGTGTGTGTACATGTGTGTGTGTGAGAAGCTCCTTTCTCAGTTGGGCAGAAACAATGGAACCTCTCTGATTACATCTCCCTGTACAGGCGGACAGGGTGTGTGTGTGTGTGTGTGTGTGTGTGTGTGTGTGTGTGTGTGTGTGTGTGTGTGTGTGTGTGTGTGCGTGTAGCTTCAGGGGGGAGGAAAGGGTGGCGGTCAGGGAGGAGGAAAGAGGGGGAGGCGACGTCCAGGCCTCCCCCCTGCTCCCTCTTTCTCGCTCTGTCTCCCACACACACACTCATCTCTTTCCCTCGCGCCCGCCTGGCGTCTCATTGGTTAAATGGCCGGCTGTATATTTATGTGATTGGTCAGGGCGGGGTATATATACTCAGCATGGGTCGGTTAAATCTGGCCACAAGTTTCAAAACTTTCAAACAGGGCAGACAGGCAGAGAGACAGTGAGTCGGACGGCCTGAGTGACGGCGGGGAAGAATCGAGCTCTGGACAAACCGCTGCACCGCACTCTCCAAACAAGAACTGTTGTCTTTAGAGAAGGAGAAGAAGAAGAAGAAGGAGTGAAGAGAAGAAGAAGGAGAAGCAGAGTCATCGTGGATCTTTCTCAGGGGGAATATCCTGCACCACAACTTGTTTGTTTTCTCTCTCTCTTTCTCGTCTCTCCTTCCCCCTCCTCTCAGATCTCCTCGATGCTTTGCTTTGGGATTTGTCCTCCAGATCCGTTCAGCTCCTCTTCTCTCCATCTGTCCCGCCGCGCTCATCTGAAACATTTTCAGCTGCTAATTTTTTCCAGAACTTTACAACCCAACAAACTCACACAGACGTTTGCAGAATCTCACTTGGACTAAAAAAGTTGAATCCGAGCCCGGTTCTGGAATGAATTTAGCCGAGCCCAGCTTGTCCAGAGAGACTCTTCTGCATGCAGGCCGCAGGATGTCCCTTGGGGGCCCCTGGACGTCCGGGACCCCGAGCCCCGCGTCTGATTCCGACATGGGTTTTGAGCCGAATCTCTCGGGGGACTGCAGCTCTCCTGAAGGCCTCGGAGCGGGGAGCATGAGGAGGACGGAGCAGAGGATTTCTCTCAGCTCAGGGGGGCAGAGCCCGGACCTGACCCAGGCGGGAGGAGTGTCAGCGGGCGCGGGCGATGGGAAGGCCATGGGGGGCGAGCAGAGGATCCGCAGGCCTATGAACGCCTTCATGGTGTGGGCTAAAGACGAGAGGAAGCGGCTGGCCCTGCAGAACCCGGACCTGCACAACGCCGTGCTCAGCAAGATGCTCGGTAAGACAGAAAAGTCTGAAACTTTGTTCTGGGTTTCAGAACTTTTAAACTTTCTCTTTAAACTTTAGTAGAGGGTCAAATCTTCTAGATCTTTTCCTGAATTAACTTTTATTTCTTCTTCTCATGTGTTTTTGGAAAGCTCCTGGTGCCTCGGTCTCGAAAAAAGCAAAATAAACCGATAAATAATTTTAAATCTGGATCTAATTTTCCAATCGCAGCTTGAGGCGAGGATTTTCTAGGACTAATTATTATATTTACCAACCCTTCAGAGTTGAAAAAGTCTCTTTTTACATCTCATAAATGAATATTTGGTCTGTATTAGTAACTGGATACTGAGCGGGTTTGACTCCTATTATCCTAATTCTTGTCATCTGAGGCATTTTGCTAAAAAAAAAACCTTATTTTAACCATTTCTTACCAAAAATCTGCACATTTAGGACTAAAAATTTGCCCTCTTTTAAATCTAAATGCACATTTTTCTTAAATAACCATGGTGCATTCATCAAATATGAGTTTAAAAGGATGCAATTTGATCCTGCATCAAAATAAATCCATGTAATCTGTATTTTTGCAGGATTTATCTTGTTGTGCATTCACAGGTCGACGTGCAAAAGTATCCTCAGTGTGCTTCTAACACAGCAGGGGTAAAAATCTCTGTGTGTGTCTTATTCCCGCTCCTGTTTTTTTTAACACTCAGAGAATTACAGAAGACGCGCCAAAGAGCACCCACACAGCCGCGCACACGCACACGCACACACACACACACACACACAATACACACGCTTATTATTTTTGCCTGAGGGAAAAGCAATATTCTTGAATTTCTTTCAAAAACACAAACACTTCAACCAAAAGTTTCTGTGATTTAATTTCATTTCTGTTCATTCCTTGTTAATATAAAGCTGATGTGTTGCAGTTACATGGATGTTATTAAAATAATCTTTATGCATCAAACCCTCTCTGAAAAAATGATTTGTAGTTTCCTCCGTCGCAGAGCAAAAAGAACAGAAATCCAAAATGTTCAGAGAAGCCTCCAAAAGCCGTCCTGAAGCGTAAATCACTTCAGCGCCGTTTGTCATGTCCTCGCTTTATTCCAACCTTCACAGTTCTGTCAAAACATGAAATACACGGAGATCAGATGAACTCAAAGTGACTGAAACTTCAGTTCTTCTCATGAACGTGAGAAACGAGAAACTGAAGAGTGTGAGGGAGACGAGGAGTTTGGATAAAAGGACCTCCGGTTAATTATTTAGTCTTTGGCTGGAGAGACAGTTTGATTCATCAATGATTTACAGACGGGGCTGGATTAACGCAGATTAAGATAGATGCAGTTTTAATGTGAGAACTAGAGTGCAATAATCGTCAACTTTAAGAGAATCATGAACACGTTTCTGCTTCTCTTCAAACTCAAATCTGTTGGTGTAAGAAAAAGAGTGAAGCGGTGATTACACTGTGCATGAAGCCAACTTCACTTTTCTGATTTTCTGTCATCCTGATGAAAAGTTCTCTTTTAATCCAACTTGAATTCACTCGACATCAAACTTTAGCGTGAAGTTTCTGGAAGGACGCCGAAATCTGCCGTTATCGTCTGAACGTCTGTGACAGGCTGGCTGAAAGATTCTGCAGTTTTCTTGTCAGTTATAAAAAGTTCTACCAAGTTTTGTCAAAATCTGATTTATACTTTTTTTTCTTTCTTTTATTCGGAATAATGAACAACATACGAACATGTTGCGACATGTCTCCTCACTGTCCCTGTTTTGAATCAGGGTTTTGGTCGCTCACAGGCGATGATGCTCGAGTTGTTGAGGGTGAGAAATGTAGTGTAAAAGCAGCTGGTTGTTGTTTTTCCTCCAGTATTGCTCTCTGATCGAAACAGACCAGTCATATTTTTGGGAGGACTAAAAAGGGGGGAGCGCTGATATCTCAAAGACATCTATTCAACTCTCAGCCACGTGGATACCAACAGCGGACTTGGAATTAGTGAACCTGGTCGGAACTTGTATAGTCCAACAAGATTAATAACACTAACCCCTAATTTCCTACACATCCAGAACGGCTACGAAAAGGCTGTATCCTCCGATCGTAGCTGATCGTAACCATTCAAGTTAACGTGTCAATTTACACCGACTTCTTTCTGTTCCGCTGTGGATCGCCGGACTCTGCAGCTGATCGCATGAGTTCAATTTTTTCCGGACGCCAGAGCATGCCGGATAACGGGCGGAGACGAACAAGTGAAAGGTTTTTAAATGTCATTTAAACCCGATGACACCATGGATGAGAAGATGCTGATTCTAGAAGTCTAGAAGTAGATTTCCTTCTCTGGAAGGACACAATCTACTGATTATATGTCTATGTGTCTGTCTTTATAGAGACGACTCGTTATTGCGCGATTCCGCATGAATCAGCGGGTTCTTGTGAGTTCTCGCAGTTCCGGTTGTCTGTAGTTTGTCTGTAGTCTACCGGATCTCTTTGTGAGGCAAATAGTCTGCCATGAAATTTGCCTCACAAACAGATCCGGTAGGAATACGGTGGGAATGAGACATTCCGGATGCGGTGGAAATTCGGGGTTAACCAAGTAAAGAACCCCAGTGCAGAAGTGGGTAGTTCTTGCAGTCCGCCTGGCACCAAGCAGCATTTTTATTTTGTCGTTTATCCCCTCCTCCCAAAGCCAGACTAAAAGTTTGTGATCTTGGTATCTGTGATTAATTTTCTTCTTTTTGTAATCCCTTCCAGGTCAGTCATGGAAAGCCTTGAGCGCTGTAGACAAGCGACCTTTCGTTGAGGAAGCCGAGCGCCTCCGTGTCCAGCACCTCCAGGACCACCCAAACTACAAATACAGGCCTCGCCGCAAAAAGACCACCAAGAAACTCAAGCGTGTCGAACCAGGGCTTCTCCTCCACAGTTTAGCCCAAGGGGGTGCCCCCGGCCTTGGATTGGGACCTGGTATGAACCCCTTGGGTGCTGAAAACATCTCTGGTGGTTCTGCTTATGGACACTCAGGTGCCCATGGTGCACATCACCACCACTCCCATCATCTGATGCCTCCTCTTGGACACTTCAGGGACCTCCAGGCTCCAGGACACCCAGAGTTGGAGAGCTACGGCCTGCCAACTCCAGAGATGTCTCCTCTGGATATCCTGGAGGAAGGAGCTGGAGAGTCCGTGTTTTTCCCCCAGCATATGCAAGAAGAGGCGGGGATGGGGGGTTGGAGTGGGTACCACCACCACCACCACCTTCACCATCATAACCAACACTACGGCCACAACTACAACAACCACAGTCACCACAACTCCTTACATGGTGCAGCACCTTACAGTCAGAGTCCGGGGATGAGCGTTGGTGCGAGTCTGAGCTCCAGTTTGAGTCCAGGCAGGAGTTCCAGAGTTGACTCCAGGATGAGTTCTGTTGAGGCAAATATGACCTCCAGGTTGAACCCTGGTCACCACATTGCTTTAAGAAGTCCTGTAAAGCCCCCTCCACCTCCATCTGACTCTCTATCCCCTGTTTCTTACCCCCAACCCTCCATCAGTCTTCCTGAACCTGTAAAATCCCAACAAATGTCTCACCAAACCACTGCGACTGTCGGCTACTTTGGCCAAATGTACGGCAGCAGCACGCCAAACGCTGCCTACTACATGCCCTCCCAGCTGGGCCAGCTCTCACCTCCACCTGAAACCTCCCCTTCCTCTTGCTCATCCTCATCCATCCCTCCATCAACCTTCGCTCCCCCGCTTCACCTAGATCCTTCAAATCCAGAGTCTTCTGGACATTTAGGGTCCTCCTCAGCTGAGTTTTGGTCAGAGGTGGATAGGCATGAATTTGATCAGTATGTCAACGTCGGGCGGAATCGAGAGGACGCATACGGACGCTGTGGGGGTGGGTCCAAAGTAGGGAACGGGCGCAGTAGCAGTATTATAGGCGGTGGTATGAATACTAGTATAGTTAACAGGGATGTTAGTAGTATTTTAAGTAGTTCTGGGGGTTGTGACGAGTCCAGCAGTCCTCTTATATCTGCTCTTTCTGATGCTAGCAGTGCCGTCTATTACAGCGCCTGTATCACCGGGTAGATACTCAAACATAGAGACGCCATCTCTCACAAGTACCTCCATCATACTGCAGTTTGATCTCACTTAAGTACAGTAAGTTTTGACTCATACTTACTCAAACTTTAGGCCAAATAACTCAACATTTCAGTCGCTCTGTTCTGAGATGGTCAGATTCTGACTTTGTCTTAAAGTCCTGGTTGACGATCTGAGGAGCAGTTGAAAAAAACCTGAACCATTGAGGCAGATTTGAAGAAAGCGTCCCACCCCCCCCACAAAAAAAAACCTCTGCTGTCTCGGCGTCTGTTTTCAGGACCAAATCCTGGCGGAGCTTTCTCCACCACTCTAAGGATGACCCGATGTTTATTCGAGCGTGTTTTTTTGCGTCCTTCTCCTGTAGCTAAGCTGCTAAGCTACTGTTTGCCGCTCAGAGCTCCGAGGAGGGCCGGGAGAGTGGGAGGGGACGAGTCGGAACTACGGGAGAGGGGTGTGTCGAATACAGCGAGGTGATTGGATGGAGAGGCGGAGCAGGAGATTGACCAATAGGAGCTGTCCGGGATGGATGGCTCCCATTGGTCAATGTTTTTGCAGCCCTGCACCTGCTAGGGTGAACAGATTTTTTCCGTTCTTTTTTCTCTTCACTTTGTGGAGATGGCACTATAGGACCATGATCGCCATAGAAACAAGGTTCATAATAATTACTTATCTCTCCAATCGTCAATCATGCCTTTAAACTCGCCCCTCTGAAACAGTTAAAATGAGGATAGTTGTTTGTTGTTAGTCTCTTTCCAAAGGTGCTAGGACTCTGTGTTAGCGTGTGAGACACTAACAGAGTATTCAACGATAGCTGGTCTCTTTTTTTCCTGTGCTACAAAGTCTGAAGGATTCAGGGATTATGAACTTAGCAGAGACTTGCGGTTGGGAAGTCCTTAACCTTTAATTTCATCTCATATCATTTTTCAAATTTCATCTCAGTGAACTCCCAAACGGAAATATGAGGACCAAACTTTAGCAACGGACCAAGAGAAAAAGAGACTCTATGAAGGACTCTGTCCAGGCTCCAAACCTTTAGCCCTGTTTCGGGGAAAGCCTTGGCCACAGACCCGAAGCAGACCGCTGATGTCTCCCACAAACTATCAGAACGTTTTACAAGCCGGGTCGGGTTCTTCCCTGACCGTGATATTTGCTGTTCACGCTCCGCCTCGGTCCACAGCAGGGCCTCACGTTCGACTCGGTGCCAAAATCTGCAAATTTAAAGTTGGAAAGGATGGAGACTTAAGGATCACATCACTTAGTAAAACACGATCTCTCTCTCCAAACTTATTAAGAGTAATTTTGTTCATCGGCTTCCACATGTTCAGTATTTTTGGAGCAAATTTAGCGAAGAGGTTCAAGAAAAATAAAAGCCCCAGACTTTAATTCAACATTCGCTAACGCTGGATTATACACCGGAGCCTTGGTGAGATATTTGAGCAGCGTTATTACAGTCTGATCTGTGGTTCACAAGGTTATCTTGTTTTAGAAATCTTGTTTTGTTGTAGCTGTTTACTGTATATATATAAATATAAATATTAATGCCTCTGGGCAGGATGTGAAGGAGAAGTCAAGACTATGAAATGTTCTCTTTGCACTGGGTTTAATGTCTTAGCTGTATAGAAGGAACACTACTAATAAAGTCTAAAGTTTGGTTATTTTAAGTTTGTTTGTTGTTGTAAAAAAAGAGACTGTGTTTGTATTTTCTTTAAAGTTTAGGATATTTTATGAAACATGCTTTTTCACTCTCTTGCTTGAGTTCGATCCCTCGTCTTTAATTTCAAACTGGAGGTAATTCACTTAGTTTAGCATTCAGCAGAGATCAGGATTGGGTCTTTAAAGCTCCTGTGAGGAACTTTTCAGACCTAGTTTAAAGCCCCTTACAGTAGCTTTAATTTTAGCTGTCTTCAAAATGGAAAAGACCGCTCAACAGTGACTACTACTTAAAAATGTTGAATTTTACAGTTTCAAAATTAGATCTTTTATTAAATTGTTTTTCCAATTAATGGATTTACATTTTTGGTTTTAAATCTAAAATCTGTGTATTCCAGTATGATACTAATTAAAGGTACAGTGTGTCAATTTTAGCAGGTCTAAAATCTGATTGCTAAATAATAGGACATTTTCATCTTTCCACACACTGTACCCTTAATCGTAAAGTGGAATTTTAAAAGGGAAGTAGGAACTTTTATCCAAACTGGCTGTTTCCTGTTTCAGTGTTGGTGCTAAGCTAGGCTAACTGCTTCCGAACTCCAGGTTTCAGCGTAGCGCATTCAGCAGGAGTGAAAAGGCGAATTTTGAAAATGTTGAAGTTTATTTCTCTCACTAAAACTTCCCTCCTTGAGTTTTTTCTTTATTAATATTTAAATAACTGGAAATTGAAATTGAATCGTGTTTTATCAGAGCTGAGAAATTACAAACCCAACAGTTGTCGGCACTGTGGAGGCCTCTCTGGACGTGTTTCTGGAGCATCAATCCTGGAATATTTCCGTCTACAGAAGGAGCTGAAAACAGAAGTTTTTCTTAAAGGCTTCATTCTTCATCTGTTGTGCATTAGTCCTACAGACAATACTTTTTTTCTTTTTTTTTAGGGGAAACAGTAGAAGAAAATCGAGATCATCTTGTATAGTGAAACCAGTTATATTTACCACACTCTTCTTTGTGGTTAAAAGAGAGAAAGAGTCGATTTTTCCGAGCATTTCCTCCTGAGGATGGAGCCACAGAGAAGCAGCAGTTCAAGGAAAGTATTAAAAAATACTTTTACATCTGCATTTGACATTCTTCTCTGTTGACACCAAACTGAGTCCTCTTTCCATTTTAATTTACTGTGACACACAAAGAACATCAGAGAGGCGGCTCGTTTTTTTGTTTCGGTTGTGCAATAACTCTCAGGCTTTTGGTAATAATTATCCGAGGGAAGAAAAAATTGGGATCAAATCAAAGGATATTTTCTCAGCAGTCATACAATGACAAATTAAAAGCATGTTTTCCAAGAAGTGTCACTGCGGCGCTTCTAAATCTGTCTGTCAGGGATTATAATTGTGTTTTCTGTAGTAAATGGTTTTGTTTGTGTTTATTTTTTGAATATGTGGGCCGGCTGTAAATGGATCTGTTCTGTTTTTAAAGATAATTTTACAAAATAAACACATCTGAGAATGCACTTTGGGTCTGCGAGTTTCTGATTTTCACAACTGTGAATAAATTAAGTGCAAAATAAATCCAAATGTTTGTTCAGATTTGGTTTTAAAAGAGAGAGAAGAAGAGACATACATAACTTCATACATAAAGTTCTGATTTGTCACATTAATTATTCAAGAGATCCTTTTGTGAGACGCTCATGGTTTGGACTTTGTTCACAGGATGGAGCTTCTTTTAAAAATCCGCTGTTTTCCATCAAGAAAACTAAATCAGATTCAGCGAAGCGCGGAATAAAGTCGGTCGTTTTATAACCTTTAAAGATCTGTCAAGGTTTAACACTTACCAGCTCGACTCTTCAGCTGTTGTTCGAACAAAATCTCAAACAGCTGGAGAACCGAGATGTTCACCAACAAGAGCAGCCAACAAACGGAGGAGTTCAGGAATCGTTGGCCCCAAAAAAACGATTATTTTTTCTCACGAAAAAATGACGATCAAAGTCTCAACTTCGCTGCCTCACAACCTGAAAGTCAGATTCTTAGTCGTATTCTGGATGAAACATCGCCACCTTTACGATGTGTCAATAGGAGATGACCACGACTGACTAAAGGAGGAAGTGTCGGTGAGAATTACAGACTGGCTCGTTTTGATTGGTCAGGTATCTTTGTGTAGTCTCTTAAAGTCGCAAATCTTCGCCTTTGTGATCGCCGAAGGAGGAAAAGACTAGCATCGTGATACTTGACGATTTTCAAAAGTTTGATTAAAAGGCAGCATTAGTTGATTCCTACTTTAACCTCACTTTACTCACCTGTCCCTCACCCCCAATTTTCACCGTACGCCAATTCCTTTTGTGAGGGGAATTTCGTGGCAGATTACAGACAGCAGGAATCGCGAGAAATTACAAGAACCCGCAAATTCATGTGCAATCGTGCGATAACAAGTTGTCTTTAGCCACATCAAGATCACAAACTTTTAGTCTGGCTTTGGGAGGAGGGGATAAACGACAAAATAAAAATGCTGCTTGGTGCCAGGCGGACTGCAAGAACTACCCACTTCTGCACTGGGGTTCTTTACTTGGTTAACCCCGAATTTCCACCGCATCCGGAATGTCTCATTCCCACCGTATTCCTACCGGATCTGTTTGTGAGGCAAATTTCATGGCAGACTATTTGCCTCACAAAGAGATCCGGTAGACTACAGACAAACTACAGACAACCAGAACTGCGAGAACTCACAAGAACCCGCTGATTCATGCGGAATCGCGCAATAACGAGTTGTCTCTCTAAAGACAGACACATAGACATATAAGCAGTAGATTGTGTCCTTCCAGAGGAGGAAATCTACTTCTAGACTTCTAGAATCAGCATCTCCTCATCCATGGTGTCATCGGGGTGAAATGACGACTAAAAACCTTTCACTAGACTTGTCCATCTGTTCGTACGATCCTCCTGAAACACGGAGTGTTTTATTTTGAAAAGAAGTCGGATGTTTTATTTTGTGTCTGTGCCCGACTTCCTTTCCAGCACGGGTTAATCTGTGCTGAATTTATCCGCCATGCTTCCGCGTCTGGAAAAAATAGAACTCTTGTGATCAGCTGAGGAGTCCGGCGATCGAAAGAAGTCGGTGTAAATTGACACGTTAACTTGAATGGTTACGATCAGCTATGATCAGCTGATACGGCCTTTTCGTAGCCGCTCCGCATGCGTTGGAAATTGGGGGTCAGTCAGTCACTTTGACTGTCTCGCTCTCGAGCATCTTCCTAGTCTCGGTCCTCACAGTCGAGACCTTTCCTTGATTCTGGTTTTGGGTGTTTTCCCTCGGTTGTATTTGTCTGGACAGGCGGTTGTACTGCCTGATTTTTCCACTGATGACAAAGAGTCTGTCTGTCTGTCTGTCTGTCTGTCTGTCTGTCTGTCTGTCTGTCTGTCTGTCTGTCTGTCTGTCTGTCTGTCTCTGAGTCCCTGATCTGTTCGTAAAGCTTAAACCGACTCTAGGGATTCAGGTGAGGATTCAGAGGTCAGGAAGAGGGTTTGTGTGATTTCACAGGAAAACTTCAACCTTCAATTTCTGCAGAACAATCATCCCAAAATGCCGTCAAATCGGCGCAGTATTTCAAGTGTTTTCAGATGCATTTCTTCAAGTCCAGAGTCAAAGCCCTAAATCTCAGCCCTAATGTCTCCTGGTCTTTGGATGGAAATGATGAAGATGAGAAAAAGGAGGGGTGGGAAAGGAGAAGAAAAGGAAAGAAAGACAATCAGCTCAGTGTTTGTGCGGCGCTGTAATCCTCTGTGATCTGCTCTGATTCTGTCCTCTCCGGGTTCAGATCCGACATTAAACCAAATTTGGCTCGGCAGGACAGTTTCCCCCCGAACAAACCGCTGACGGACTCAAAGAAAACATTTGGAACAAGGAAAAACTGTTCTCTCCTTCTCTCGTCTTCAGTTTGATCCCCTCTCTGTCCCCCCGTCACTGTAATTTTCTCTGTTTTATTCTCTTTCCCACAACTTCGACTCCTGTCTGTTTGTTTCAGCTTGACATTTTCACAACCTCTCAATCTTTTCTATTTGCATTCATGTCCACCTCTCTGTTTGACCTTCATTTTCTCGTGTGAGGAAGCGTTGTCTGTTCTTGAGTGGACGGCAAAAACAACCGTGTGGCAGTCGGATTGTCATGAGCCGAGTTAGTGGACAACAAGTTTGTTAAGATCAATCAAATACCGTGTACAAGAAAACCTGCTGTTAGCTATGAAACTGTGGCGCTGATGAATAAATGTTTCACGCCACATAGTTATTTACTCATCACTCCGATAAGAATATTAAAAAATCAGTTTGATATGTGCATGTGATGTTCTTCTGAGGACTGATCGCATATAAACGCCACCTACTGGCAGTGTTGCCATCTCTTCAGTGAGGAAAGTCACTATTGGCCGTCCTAGAAGTCGCTAGATGACATCATAATCTAATTTGCATAATTTTCCATTTGATTGTAATAGTCGTTTATCTCGACACGTAAAATTTTACATTTATTTGCCGCCATGTTGGAGCCCGAAATATAACAAGTTGCTTTATTTTGGTTAAAAGTTAGCGCATTTTGGGCTCAGCATCTTGTTACATTATTGACCAGTTATAGACCGGGTTTTGTTTTATGTTATTCATCACAAAGCAGGTCATTGTTACAGTTCGAGCTCTGACACGGCCTCACTGAAGGGTTAGAGAACGGCACGATTCACTTCCTGTTACATCTCTCAAGGACTGCTGCGCAAGCGAAGATGACTCTTCTTTCCCGTTAGTGATTTGGAACGGGGGAAGGGTCAACGGCAGAAAAAGATCGCAATGTGCTTTCACGTCAGAGTCTTCGAACTCCAGAAAAAATCGCTAGATTTGTTGCTAGACACTTTTTTTTTAAAAATCGTCACTAAAGGGTCTGAAAAATCACTTAATATGGCAACAAAGTCTCTAAATTGTCGACACTGCCTACTGATTTTGTATGCTAACATGAGCGTTTAAAACTTCAAGTTTTATTTGACGTTTTTTTATTATATTTCGGGTCATTATCACGCACCGGGTCATTGTTATATTTCAGGACTGCTGCACCAGCAATGTAGACCCCTTCCCCGTTAGTGGTTTGGAACCGGGAAGGGGTCAACAGCAGAATAAGATCGTTATGTTCTTTCTCATCAGAGTCTCTGAACTCCAGAAAAAAATGCAAGATTTGTTGCTCGCCACTTTAAAAAAAAAGGGTCTGAAAAATCACTAAATATAGCAACAAATTTGGGAACACTGCCTATTGGTTTTGCATGCTAACATTAGCATTAAAAACTGAGAGGAAAACTGGTTTTAGTGTCTTCCAGAGAAGCGATTCAGAAAAGTCCACAAGGTGCAGTTTTCCGTGCAACTGTGTAGCCTATTAGTAAAATCTGATTAAAGGTTCATTTTGTGCTTTTTTTTGACCTTATAAGGGTGAAAAGCATTTTAAAGTGGAGTCACCAGCCTGACTGGTGTTGATATGTATCCCATGATGCTCTGGAGCAGCTTCCCTGTGACATCTAATGAATGTAGGTTTGATTAGACCAGCAGACTTTATCTTAACCAAACCAGGGACCATAGAGAGAGAGTGTGTGTTCTCTTACACCAGGTCATGTTCAGTTCTAAGTGTGTGTGTGTGTGTGTGTGTGTGTTGCTGAGGTAACTGACAGGAATGTGAGCGACGAAGAGGAAACTCCTGTGGAAGTTTGGGATGTTCGGAAAGGGTGTGTGTGTGTGTATTTGTGAGTGTGTGTGTAGAGAGAGAGGAAGAGGTGTATATTTTGATGGGAACACCTCACCCGCTGCTCGTTACCCTGACTGGAAAAGATAACAGCGAGCTGGATTCCCCGGCTCACAGCTGGAAATGAGCACATGTGAGCGTGGAGGGTGTGTAGAGTGAGTGTGTGTCTGAGAGAGTAAAATTTTTAACTATGTCGGAAAACTTTGTTTGCAAACAGACGAGGACTTTTACACCGCCGGGGGAAATGATCTCTCGTTTAGAGGAAGAGCCGACAGATTCACACCTCTGCTTCGGAGATTTCACACGATTTCACGAAGCAAAAAATCAGGTCTGGTCAGGTTCACCCACATTTTTTAAGCATTTCTATCAAATCTGTGACGACAACTCCTCAGAGAGTATTTCATTATCTTAATAAACGATTAACTTCAAGACCTCAAGGTGCAGAAACAACACCTTTTTTAATAAGCAGCATCGCACATGTACATGCTAGATACTCTCGTACCGACAAAGACATCCACATGTGGTTAAGTTGACGATGAGTAGACGATGAGTTTTGAAGACAAGGAATAAAAAAGTGACTGGATTTGAAAAAATTTGCGTTGATTAAAGTTTTTGATTTGTCCTCGAAGGCCACCGTCGCTATACAAGCAGGAGGGGTGAGCGAGGGAGCGTTTTAATCCAAAATCTGACCACTACACTTCCATAGATCGGAAAATCATCAAGTGTCCATTTCCAGTCTTGGGAAATGACGCATATGTGGAGGTGTCAAAAACTGCAGTTCCTCTAGTGTCCACTTGAGGCTGCCTGCTATATACACTCATTTGAGGTGGCTCGGGCATCTGGTTAGGACGCCTTCTGGACGCCTCCCGTTAGAGATGTTCCTGACATGTCCCACCGATAGGAGACCTCGTGGCCGGCCCAGGACCAGGTGGAGGGATTATATCTCTCGCCTGGAGGAGCTGGTGGAAGTGGCTGGGGTGAGGGCCGTCTGGGCTTCCCTCCTGAAGCTGCTGCCCCCGGAACCAGATCAGCGGAAAAAAAGAGTTTTTAATTTTACGTGATTGGTGACTCAGAAACACGACTAACTTCACTGACAGGCTGGACAAACTAAAAGGGTGATGTCCAGTTATCATACAGTCGAGAACGTGTTTTTGGACTTCTGTCAACGTTAATTTCGTTGCACTAAAGGCAGCAAACTCCCTAAGCTAGCTGCATTGGATACATGCATCTCCGAATCCGAAAGTCTCGGCTGGTTTTCAGGGAGCCTCAAAGTTCAACAGTACATGTCGGAGTTCCTGGACGTGAATCAACATCAAATAGTTCTGACATGAAACAGCTGTGAGACCTCCTATGAAGTGAACCGACCGTTCCTGGAGTCCCTTTAGGACGCCGTCGGTGATTTCTGTGCTGTGAGAAAAACAGCGAGCGCCGCAGATACATATGGAAGAGGGGGGGGGGGGACTCCGGAGGGAAACAGAAGAAATGAAGGGAGAGGCAGAGAGAATGGAATTTATACATCAGTGTGTTTGAGATAGAAGAGTGAGAGAGAGAGAGAGAGAGGCTGATTAAGAGCGAGAGACTATAGAGGACTGTCAGAGAGAGAGAGAGAGAGAGAGAGAGGGATTTTCCCGTCTCTTTCTGTCTGTGGTGTTTTATTGGCAACATGTGGTTAGGATGTCAGATCACTCGCCACAACTACACACTGACGCACTCACTGACTCTGTGTGTGTGTGTGTGTGTGTGTGTGTGTGTGTGTGTGTGATGACAGCCCGTTTACACTGTTTGTTTGTGAATTTGTGCAACTCCTTTGTGTTTCCTAC